GGCGCCGGCACACCGTCGTCCTGGTCAAGGCTGCCAAGGGCCGTGTCGTTGACCAAGGCCTGGAACGCCTGCGTCTCGAAGAAGGCTCGGTAAAAAGTTGGTCGTTGTCGTCGCGCCGTGCAGTTGACCAAGAAACGCATCGGCGTCAAATGTGATCGCGACCGCCGCCTGGCGCTGGCGACTGTTGCGCCGACTGTGCTGCGGCGACCGCGGCGCAGCCAGTTGCGGCGACGGCGTCGGCGTCACGATTATGTACTGCGCATACCCGCGGAAGAGGTCGACAAAAAACTCAGCAAAGGCGACGCGTACGGGGTCGACCCATGGCGTGATTGGCGTCGCGGTCGCCGGGGACACCTTTGGTACTGGCGACACGGACAGAAAGGCCGACGTCTGCACGCGGGCGGCGAACCGGCAAGCGTTCGGGAACGGACGGGGTGCATTCTGAAACCGGAGGCGCAGTGGCCGAGGTTGCGACCGGAGAAGGTCACACGTCGCTTCGAACGAAAGCGAGAGCGTGGAGACGCCGTTGACACTAAGAAGAAAGCTCCCAATGTGCAAGACACCCGAGAGCGCCGCCGGCCCCGGGAGACCGTTCTGGAGCTGTGGAAACGCCTTCACAACGGCCGATGTCGGGTGCGCCACGTCGGCACCGGTTGCCAGCAGTCGCACGTGCGTCGGCTCGAACGTGATACCGAGCTATCTCCATCTCATTCATGCAAGTTTTGTCGACTTGACGTACGGGTCCGGGGCCAAAGGTCACGTCAACCTCGGACGACGCATCTTCGAGGCGAAGCACATCGGACGTCCGAGCGTTGCGCCGGAAGCGAACGCGGTTGGCGTCGGCTACACCACGTTACTCTCTAAGACGGAAAGGAGCATATTCCACCTGTGGGGGCGCTCGCAATCGGCTGGTACAAGTCGAGCATGGCCTGCACTTTGCACTGCAAGAAGGACACGGCAATTGGAGGAAACTTGGCGATCGGGTGGTCCACGGCGCTCTGGAGCCCGTGGCTACCGTGGATGGGGCGCACGACCTTGTCCTTGTCGAGGTGGATCACGACACACGAGGCAAACACGTCGGCGCCACTCTTGGTCGTGAGGTAGCTGGTGTGCACGCCCATGAAAAAGGGCACCGGCGCCTAGACACGCAACATCAATATGACGCAAGCACTATGTCGTGACGACCTGCAGATATTCAATGAGCTTCATGGGCAGAAGCGGAATGTACACGTGCTCCCACACGAACGGGTACAAGAGCGCACAGAGCGCTTCGCACACGGGCGTAAGCAGGCCGTGGTGCTACACAAATCGAAACATTTCGCTTGGGCACAAGAAAAAGGGCCTACCGAGGAATGGATCAAGATGCGCTGCTCCAAGAGCATGCAGTTCAGAATGAAGATGATGTTCTTGATGCTAAGGTGCTGGAAGAGGAGCTGAAAGCACGCATCGTCGACAAAGCCGAGTCCACTCGCGTGCAGCGTCTGCTGAAACAGCAGTTGACCGTGGATGTGAAACTCGGTCGTCGCGCCGATGACCGGCGCCGGCGCCCGACGCACCAAGTCGACGATCGCATCGCGCCACGACGCTGGCTACGCACCACATCAGCTATCACGTCGATGCTATCCATTGCGTGCCGGTATGTCGTCGTCGCTGCTGTGGTTGTTGTTGGTTGACGTGTCGAGAAAAGCAAGGGCGCCGGCACGGGGCGACGTGAGCCAGACGTCGTCGGCGTTGGGTACCTCGGCGGCCTGCGCGTGGTAGATCCATCTACTTCACGCTGAGCTCGTGCCGCGAGAGGATGCGATGCACCCCAAGGCTTCTTTAAAGAGCCCGAACAGCGCAAAATGCGAGATAAAGCAGTAGACGCGGGGCAGGCACAGCGTGGCGTCCCTGGCGCGCGTGTACGTGGTGAGCGCAAAGCCGTAGGCGCGCGATCCGTCACCACCCGTGAGCGTAAAGGCGTGAAACTTGGGCGTCTTCTCATACAGGGCGCGGTCGCGGAGGTCGATCTTGTCGGGCAGGCAAAACTACATGCCATGCATGAGAGCGCATAGGCGGAGGGTAGAGGCACGGACGTAGCGGACGCCGTCGGGCAGTGGGAACCCCGGTCGGTCGAGCGCTGGCACCCGGTGGGCGATCGAGCGCACGGGGGTGCCGACGGGATCTACGGATCACGGAGACGTCATGCTGTGGGAACGACGACGACGCATTCGCACCGGCAATGACGACCTCGAGGAAGTAGTCGACCAGACTTGGCGCGAACATCGGCATTTCAGTACGTCGGTGTGTGGAAAGGCCACCTGTTGAGGCAGAAACCACCGAAACTGCAACGGTACCGTCGAAGGGTTCACGCGAGATCGAAAGATTCGACGACCGAATTGGCCCTTCTGCGACGCCTGCATTGTGTGCGCCTGCATGGTCGTGGTGGGCGTCTAACGATCATCTACTCGCCATGGTAGTCGTGCGTCCGAGTCGAGCCGCCACTGCATGGTAGTCTGGAGAATGCTCGCGCCGTGTGGCGGTGTGTGGCGTCTGTGTACGAGTGGTTCAACTGCATCCAACGGCAATACCACGCGGCCATATTGTATTCGATTCATATCTAATCGCCACGGATGGACTTGGGGAACATGGTGTACGCTTCGGGCTGCGGCTCCTCCCAGTCGTTCAAGTACGTAAAGGTCTCGACCGGCGGCGCCTCGGGCACGGCGACGACGAGGCCGTCCAAGTCCTTGGTCAAGATGATTTCCGTGCCAAGGCGCGAGTTCTTGGTCAGGTCTTCTTCCGGCACGTCCTCGAGGATGCGCGCTTCACGCTCCGACGGCACCGGCAGCTTGTGCACCCACTCGTTCGAGACCACGACGTGCGACAAGGGCGACGACGGGCCTTCGCCAAAGAGGCTCTCGGTGAACTCGGGCGTCCGCACCGCGCTGTACGTGGCGCCACCGCCGCCAAGCGAGTCGTCCTTGACGATGTCGAGGCCCGACAACTGGCACGCCTCGAAGAGCGTCTGGCCGACGCGGCCCTGGATGATGTGGCGGCTGCCCTCGTAGTCGAGCAAGGTCACGGCCACGAGGTGGTCGCGCACGAACTGCTCGGGCACGTGCTTGGGCGCGTGGGACCCGAAGCTGCGGGCGGCAGTTTTGGCAAGGACACGGCGCAACATGGAGCAAGTGACTTTCTGTCTCCACCACTATTTTCAGGCAAAGTCGGCGAAACTTTATAGATTCCAAACTTCGAGTTGATCCTTCGATTCACATACAAACCATAAGTCTGCAGTAGCTTTGAACTTCGGATGTGCCCTTCGAGGCAACGCCGATGCGTGCCCGCCACGAACGCTTCGCACCTGAACAGAGATGTCTGTTCGAGCTACGACCAAGACGCATTGCGACTGAGAGATGTCGATGGACGTGGCGTGGGCAACCGCGTGCTGTGCCCGTCGCGAGGTGAATGTATTAAATATCACAGGTTTTAAAGCCGCTCGTTGATTCGCTGGTTTCATGTTCCATTTGCCCAATCCACGGCTTGTGGCATTTGGCGCCGACGGCCTACGAGCGGGACACTGCGACCATAATGGCCTCGCCCGGTAACTTTCCAGTCGCGCTCCATTTCGGCGCCGAGGTTGACGACATTTAAAATATTCTCCAGCCCATCGGACTATGTATCCTTGCCACGCCATCTCGATCTGTCACAAACGCGTCCAACCAGGGGCGCGCCTTAACCTTAATCGACATGCTACTCCAGCACCTTAGAATTATACTATTAGATACCATGGTGCTGAAGTGCACGCACGCGCCCAAAAATCTACGAGCTGTGGGCTTACGCCCATTCACAATCTATCGGTATATACCTCTTGAAAGCGAATGCACGTTTTTCAAAAAAGTTGAAATCAATTACTTGTGCGTACTACCGGTAAAGTAAGTCGTCATTACCATCGTGTGTTTCGCACAAGCGTACGAAACGGACAGCAACTAATCGAATGTCGGGACAACCTGGGCGTCCGTGGGAGCATCGGTCGGGGCATCGGTACCGGTAGGCGCGTTGGTAGGTGCTTCGGTGGGAGCGTCGGTAGGAGCGTCGGTGGGTGCTACGGTCGGAGCATCGGTCGGAGCATCAGGTAGGCGCGCCCGTGGGAGCGTCTGGTGGGATCATTAGGCGCGTTGGTAGGTGCTTCGGTTGGAGCGTCGGTGGGAGCGTCGGTAGGCGCGTCCGTGGGTGCGTCAGTGGGGGCGTCGGTCGGAGCGTTGGTGGGAGCGTCGGTCGGAGCATCAGTCGGAGCGTCTGTCGGAGCATCGGTGGGTGCATCCGTAGGCGCGTCCGTGGGTGCGACAGTC